GAGATGCTCAGCCCGGGCCTGGAAGAGAACCCAGACAGGGCAGAGTAGCCAGCGTTGCTTGACCGGCCCCCAGAACCCGGATGAGCGGCAGGTGCCCCCTGCCAGCCAGCCTCTCACTTCCTAGCCCGGCTCTTGGCAATGAGCTGCGTAGTGCCAGGGGTCAGTGCCCACCATGGCCTCTCAGCGGACTTTTGGGGTAAAGCCAGGAGACAGGGCAGCCCTGGGCTGACATATTATTTCAGTCACACCTCCTCCAGGAAGTCCTCCGCGCTCAGCCCCATCTGAGCTCCTACAGCTCAGAGGTACAGTAATGGTGCCTCCTGCTGTCTTGGGGCCTGACTGAGCTCTCAATTGCTGCGGGAGCTTCCCCAGAGGTTTCAGAGAAGGGAAGTCAGATCTTCAGCCAGGGACACATCCTGTGGAGCAACAGCCTAGGAACGCAACACAGTCCTTCCCCCATTTCCTAGGTGAGGAGCCTGAGACACAGAGAGATTAAGGAACCAGCCTCAGTCTGGACTAGTAAGTACCACAGCCGGAAGCTGTCTGAGTGAAAGCCAGAGGTTGTAACTGCCACAATCCACTCCCTTCATCGTGCATCAGAGCTGAGTCAATGCTGGTAAAATCTCAACAGGATTGAGAACCATGACAAGGATAAGGATCCACAGCAGCTAGCATGGGCGTGCCCCCCCTCCCCCCCCACTGACGCCTGGGGATGAATCAGATTCCCATTGTACAGATAGGAAAACTCACTGTTCTGCCCCCATGGTCACAAGGACCCCAGAGCTTGTTTCTTCCCTCACCTTGCTGCTCTGGGGCCTCAGAACCCTAAGGGGTAAGAGGGAGCCTGCCCCCAAAACTGAGTACATATAGGCTTGAACTCACTGTGCCCCCCCCCCACCCCCGGCCTACTCTTCTCCCCTGTCCAAAGCCAGACACAGTGCTCCCTTCCCTGCCCCAGGGGGGGAACCCCCCCAGGACAACTGGATAGGGAGACACATTCCTCCCAGCTCACAGGGCCCCTCGCCATCTAGGCCAGGCCAACCCCAAGGTCGGATGCCGAATCAGGAACGTGGTCAGCCTCCCCTACCTCGCTGGGTGACCACATCTCCCCTCTCTTGTCCTTGCTTCCTCTGTCAAACAAAAGGCTTCCTTGAAACCCAATCTCATTCATTCCCTTCCCTCCAAAACGCCCATGAGTTCTAATGGGTAAGGCAAGCTCCTTAGGAGGCTTTTTAAAAAACAGGTGGCTCAGGGCGCCTGGGTGGCTCAGTTGGTTAAGTGTCTGCCTTCGGCTCAGGTCATGATCTCAGGGTCCTGGGATGGAGTCCTACAACGGGCTCCCTGCTCAGCGGGGAGTCTGCTTCTCCCTCTGCCCCTCCCAACTCATGCACCCTCGCTTGCTCTAAAATAAAATCTTTAAATAAAAAATAAAAACAAAAACAGCTGGCTCTCTGATAACCAAAAAGCACGGAAAGCCCAAAACCGTGCTAACAGTAGGCTTTTCCAGTGGGCTTTCCGGTGGCTTTGTGGCAGGAAGTCAAGAGGTAAGAAAGACACTGCGGCGGTGGGGGGGTTGGGAGTTGGCATTACAGCCCCAGTGGGGAGGAAAAGCACTTAAGGGCCTGCTGCCAGCCAGCCAGGGACTTCACAAGTGCCACTCAGCACAATTTCCCCAAGAACCCATGATCTTGGTTTTAATCAACCCATTTTACAGAGAAGGAAACAGAGTCAGAGAAATGTCCACCTGAGCTCTTGTGGCTGACAAACAGCGAGGCAGGGACCCACCCTCAGTCTATCCGAGGCCCGAAATGACTGAGTCCACTCCCTCCCCAAAAAGTGGGAAGGGCAAATTGGCAAGGCAGTTGACAGTATCTCTTTCAGTTTTAGGTAGAACTGGGTTCAAGTCTAGCTCTGCTTTCTGGCTGTGTGCCTTTGGAAAGTTCCCTCCCCTCCCTGAGTCATTTCCTCCTACAGAAATGAAGAGGACCTATCTTAAAGCGATACTGAGCATTAAATGAATATATGCAAAGCAGTTAGAACAGTGCCTGGTACAGAGTAAACATTCAAAAAGGAGAAAGTAAATATGATGTGGGCGGGGCGCCTGGCTGGTGCAGTGGGTAGAGCATCCAACTCTTGATCTCAGTTGTGAGTTCAAGCCAAACGCTGAGCACAGAGCCTACTTAAATTTAAGTGGGAGATTTAGCCCCAGTTCTCTGCATCAGGGAGGGACGGTGTAGAAACTGTGCTCTTCCAACCTGGGCCAGCTCACTTGCTGGTCTACAGCTTTGAGATGCTCATTTTGTGTGACCTTGGACGAAGTCACTTCACGTCTCTTTCCTAGTCTGTTAAAGGGGGAGGAAGCGATCTACCTTGTCCAGTTGTCCAGAGAACTGTGATGTAAATCACGGAAGGTGCCTGGTACCCACTGTCATTACAAAAACAGGCATGTGATCAGCATTGTCCTCCATGACAAAGAACTTCTGAGTACCACGGGATTTCCAGCCTTGCCTCGTGTAGAAATAGACTGATAAGGGCCACCCTTCCACCTCCCCCGTACCTCCTCCAATGCCCAACAGGTGCTCAGAAAGCATTTGTTGGAATAACACAATCAACCCAGGGAGGCAGCCGCCTAGGGCCTTGCTACTCAAAGTGCGGTCCGTGGGCCAGGAGTATCAGAGTCACCTGTGAGCCTGTTAGAAGGGAACATCTCAAGTCCCACCCCCAGCCTCCCAGTTCAGTGTCTCAGTGTTAACAAGGTGACTTGAGTACACATTAAAGTTTAGAAAGCATAGCCTTGCTCTGCCTTCTTAAAGCTGGCCAGGTGCTGGGCCTCACCTAGTGGTTGGCATAAGACGCCAAACAGCCCAGCAGAGGCTCCTGTCCCAGAGAGGCCCAGCACCCCTACCCCAAAGGCTTCTGCAAAGGCAGTTTCAGGAACACTGGCTATGGGATGTTTGAAGCCAGCCCGCCTGGGCTCAGCCCCAGCTTGGCTACGTCCTCATTGTGTGATCTCAGGCCTCATTAATCTCTCTGTGCCTCTATTCATCTGTATAATGGGATGATACCAACGACCTCAGAGTCATTGCTAGAATCAAATGAATTAATGAAAATAACGTGTTCAGAACAGCACCCAGCACAGAGCAATAACAATTAGCTCCAGCTACTAATACTAGTTCTCATTAGGATCTGTCCCACCCACAGGAAGGCAGGGAGCTGGCTTTGATTGCAGTGGCTGAGACACGCTCCTCTTTGCTTCTCCTGCCAGCTGAGCCACGTCCCCTCCTTGCAATATAAAATTTAATCACATCTCATCTACACAGTGGAGAACACTCTACCTCCCCTCTCAAGCATCCCCTTCTAACTTCTGGACATCCCACCGCCAAGCAGGTGGGGCCCATTTACCAGGTGTGGAAACTGAGGCCCACAGAGGGGAAATAACCTGCCAGCCTTAAGTAGACAGGACTGGCTGAGGCCCCAAAATAGTAAAATAGTCCCTCCCTCACAGGGCTGTTACAAGTATCGCAAGGGTGGATTTGGTGCATATAGTAAATTCTACAGAAGCGTTGCCTCTCATTTATCTCCATAACTCCAAGTTCACTCTCAGTCTAGGGACTTTTTCTACTGCCTCAGGATTCATATCAGGGGAACCACCTTCCCAAGGACAGAGGGAATCCAAAAGCACTTAAAAAAGAAGAAGAAAACAAAAGAGACTTCACAAGGAAAGAAGCACCAGTGATGCGGCATCCAGACAAGTTGTAGAGGCATGGGGTGGGGTCCGGCAGGAGGGCTCCCCAGCTCACAACATCTGGCAGGGGGTAGCTGAGCCTAGGGTGGGGGCAGCAGCAGTGGGGGCTAGGCCTTCCCTCCTCCAGTGCTGCCCGCCCACCCACCCCCCACATTCCCATACACACATGGGATTCTCACCAACGCTTTTGTGATATCTGCCATCATCACTTACACCTATTTCTCCGAGAGGTAAGTTGAGTCTGATTACAGCTCACTCCTTCCTGTGATCCCCCAGCAGTCTCAAACCCTGCTAGCTGACTCGCTCTGCTGGACAGACCCCCTGGACCCCTTCCCTCCGTGGACTGAATCTCAGGGCTCCAAAGCCTGTCAAGTGGGCCCAGACCCTCCCTGACCCAGACTTTCCCAAAAGGCCACAGCTGGTGGGAGGAGGGACCACAGAGTTATCCCTTGAGGCCAGTAGCTGTGGCTCGCCCCAAATGAACCCAAGGCCTAAGGCCCACTCAGCCCCTAGCAGGGAGAGAGGGGCGCCCTGACCCCCTCCCTCCGCTCTATGGCCTGGTCCTCCTGACTGGCACATTCACAACCTGAGCTCCTTGGCTCACAAAATCATCGCAGTGCTGGAGTATAAAGCTGTTTCCACAGCACTTTAGGGGCCTATGGATGTAGACACCGGGCCCCATTTTACAGGCGAGGTTCGAGGGGTCAAGCCCCCTGCCTAGCCTCACACAGCTACCCAGCCGCTGGCGGTGCCCCGAGGCCCATTTCACAGGTAGTGAAACTGAGACTCCGAGAGGCCAAATCACCGGCAGAAGCAGAGCGCGGAAGCCAGCCGGAGCGCCTGGGGATTCAGGACCCTCCCAGCTTCATTGTCTCTCATTAAACTGCCTGGAGGCAGCGAGGGCCTGAGCTGAGGGAAGGAAGCGGCTGCTGGGGCCCCGGTTCTCTCCCGGGCTGTGGACGCCCCTAAGCCCTCCAGCCCGACCAGGAGCCGGACCCCCCCGGACCCCGAGTCCCGCCCGCGCTCACTTTGGGCTTGTCGAAGGCGGGCGTCTGGGTCATGGTGCCAAGCGTGCGCCCCTGCGTGGTTCCCTCCGCCGGCCGGTGCTCACCCCGGGGACCTGCCGGGACCGCTGCGCGCCACGATCCTCTTAAGGGGCCCGGCCCCGCCCCAGCCCCGCCCCGCACGGGGGCCGCCCCCTCGCCGAAGCCCCCGCCCCCTCGCCGAAGCCCCCGCCCCGCCCCGCAGACCCGGGATGTGCATTTCCTGGAATTCCTGGCCCGCCCTGGGGACAAGCCCGACTTCCCCGGGCCGTGGCCTGCCCGAAATCGCCGGCCCGGGGACGCAGGGCTGGAGCCACCTGTGGGCTCAGGCTCCAGCCGCCTGGCCGGCTCTGCCTCCCGCCTGGCCCCTCGAGCAGCATTCAAGCTACCGCCTGGGCGCCTGCAGCGTGCCGGGCCGAGCTGGAAGCCGGGAACGGTGAGCGTCACAGACCTCGTGGGGCTTTCACTCTACTGGGCGAGACACATGTTCATCACATAATCGCACAACATAAATGTATGGTTAGGGGGCTTTAATGCGGCCCAGCCGTGGTTTGCAGGTCGGGAGGGGTTCTCTGAGTTTCCTAGGTGAGGGGGTTGGGGTGGGTGGGAGTGGGATGGAAGAGGGCAGCCCAGGGGGAGAGGACGTTCTCTGTTAGACCCCAGGGAGCTGGGGAATGAAAGGCGAGGAGGGGGGCATAGCAAATATCCTCCTAGGCATTTACCCTCGAGAAACCTGCTTGGGTGCCGTCAGAGAACATTTTCGAGGATGTTCACACCAGCACTGTTCGTTACAACAAAAACATTGGAAACACCTCCCAAATGCCCATTCACAGGGAGTGAGCAAATGAGCTGGAATATCCACACCATAGACTGTTACACAACCGTGAAATTGAATGAACTTCGCGGGCAGAGAGGCTAGATCTCGGCAACAATTTTGAATGAAAAAATAAGTTGCAGAAAACTGTATAGACTATGGTGCAATTTTTAGAATGTATAATAAAAGCAAAACAAAAATATGCATGTTTAGATACGTGCATGGGTAGAAAACACTTTTAAAGGGAAAGATAAACACGTATTTGAGAAGAATGGTTATCTCAGGGGAATGGGGGAGGAGGGGGAGAAGAGAAGCTTACAGGTACATCCTGGGTGTTGGTAATGTTCCAGTACTTGGGTAGCATAGTGGTTTTATTTCATTTCATAATATTATAAATAAATTAATAAATAAGGGGAAAAGAGGATGGGGGTGTGGGGCTAGATAGTCACGGACTCAGGGGGTGCGTGTGGGACACGGTGAGGGATTGATTGGTCTTTCCCCCTGAGGACACTGGAAAATCAGTGGAGGGTATCAATGGAGGCAAAACGGGATCAAACTTTTTTTGGGGAAAAAAAAAAAAGTCTCCAGCTATTCAAAGTATGGTCCAGGAATCATTGGCATCGATATCACCTGGGGCTGATTACAACTGCAGACTCAGACCACATCCCAGCCCATCCTTACAGATAAGGACACCGAGGCTCAGACAAAGGAAGAGCCTGCTTAGCACGTGTTGTAAGGGGCAGAGATGGGATTTGAAATCCAACTCTAGAACCTTCAACGCTCCGCCTTATTACTGTCTCCCTATCCCTTGTCATGACTTTCAAGTCCCTCTCCAACATGTGGCCCTTGACTTCCCAACACATTCCCCAAACACTAGTCAACCTGGATGACTTGCTGGTCCAATAAAGGTGACCACAAGTTCTTTGCTATTCTTCCCATTGCAAGATTTTCCTCCTTTTGTATCTGGGCTGGTTGGCAGGACTTGTTTGATAGAATGCAGTGGAAATGATATTCCTGGACTTTGAGCCTAGGTCATAAAAAGCCTTGCAGTGTCCACTGGGGCCTCTTGAACATTCTCCCTGGGAACCCTGTGTCGCTGTGTAGGAAGTCCAACTACCATGAGACCATCATGCTGGAGAACCCATAGTTCTTTTTTTTTTTTTTTATGATTTTATTTATTTATTTGACAGAGAGAGCACAAGCAGGGGGAGTGACAGGCAGAGGGAGAGGAAGAAGCAGGCTCCCTGCCCAGCAGAGAACCTGGTGTGGGGCTCGATCCCAGGACCCTGGGTTCACAACCCAAGCTTAAGGCAGACACTCAACTGACTGAGCCACCCAGGCGCCCTGAGAACCCATAGTTCTTAAAGTCACTCCAGTCTTGCTGAGCCCAGCCTTTCCACCCCTCCCACCAAGAAATTCCACACATTTGTGAAGCCATGTTGGACCCTCGAGATCAGAACAGTTGCCGACTGAATATGGGACTTCAGTCATGCCATGTGGAACAGAAGAACTACCCACCTGACCCCAACCCAAGTTCCTGACCTACAGAATTGGGTTATTTAATAAAATTGTTACCTGGAGCCACTAGGTCTTGGGAGCAGATCGTTATGCAGAATGCAGCAGGAATGCTGGTGCCTACCCACCCCAGACCCCTCAGTCTCTGCACCTAAGTTTACTCCATCCTGACACCTGGAAAAGCCTTTTCCCAGATCCTGGACTATCAAAATGCTGCCTTCCAAGCAACTCAAAGACAAAGAGAAACAATCAGGCTGTGTGCTGCATATCTTCTGTTTGCCCCTCCAAATGCACCCCCTACCCTTCTCCACATTGCTGTGTGCCAGGCAGCCTGACCACTATGGAAACACCAGCAGGCTCTCTTGCCCTCTGGCTTCTGGTTGGGTTTGGCCAATAGGAGGCACCAGCAGGAGATCAGAAAGTGGGAGGAGGGGGAAGTCAGGATGTTTACTCCTCTCCCCCTTCCGCCTTGTACAGTCAGCCACCAGGTGAGCTGTGTCTCTCCACCAAGGCCCCAGCTCCTGGCAGGTGGTCTTGTCCATATCCTACCAGTCCCTCCTGCCCATCTTCAAAAGCAAGGATTCCTTTTGTTACTAGCCTCAGGCTACTGTACCACCCCTTATTGCTCTCCATAAACTCTGCTCTGGATTAGGGTTCTCCCAGAAGTAGAGCCTGAGGCAAAGATTCGAGTACAAGTAGTTCATTTGGGAAGAGATCCCGGGAAACACTGGAAGGGCAGTGCCGAGTCAGACAGGAAGTGAGCCAATGCCAGCAGGCTACCTAGAGCTCAGTCCTTCAGCAGAGCTCTGTGAGACAGCGTAGAATGTCTCTCAGAGTTAACCCAGCTGAGGAGTGAGGAAGCTGGGAGGTTTATCTACCAACTGCCCTTTGACTTTGTTGGAGGGCTGTTTCCAGGACATCAACTTCCTGGCACTCTGGGCTGGCTCAACACCCTGGCCAGACTTGCTCCCCTACAGCAGAGAGCGGGAGCCTGACTCCGGTATTAGCAGGAAAGCACCATGCAGAGGTGAGGCTGAGGGCATGTGGGCTGGGCACTGAAGGCTTCACCGACCCGCGGCTTCATAAATCATTTGGTTTTTTGGTCAGCTTTATTGAGGTATGACTGACAAATTGTAAGATACTGAAAGTGTACAATGTGATGATTTGATGGACGTATACGTGTGAAATGATTTCCCCCCATCAAGTTAATTTACACACTCATCACATATTTACCTCTTTTTTTTTTTTTTGTGAGGACATTTTTGTTTTACTCTCTTAGCACATTTCAACATCTCAGTTATGCAATAGTGTTATCAACCATAACCATCCTGTTATACATTAGATCCTCAGACCTTATTCATCTTATAACTGAATGAATATAATTCCTTTATTAAACTCCCCTCAATTATTCAGTCTGAGTATTTGCCTGGTTCCTGCCAGACAGATGGGTCTTGAACTTCTCCACATTAATCCAGGGTGGGCCAATGTCTACAGACTTGGAACAGGGGTGGAGAGAGAAAAATCTAGCTCAAGATCTAGTTCCAGCCAACAATGACAACAACAAATGCATGAAAGCAGAGACTGAATTAATAAGAATTCCTCAATTGGAAATAACACTGGTCAGGAGTATCATCTCCAGTTACACAAAGAATTAAACTGGGACAATAGCATTAGTAACTTAGTACTTTAGAGCCAAAGGAAATTGTTAGAGTCGTGAGGAGGAAAAGTTACATAATAAAGAAAATCAGTCTTTCAGGGCAGATTATCAGTTAGGGTCACCCTAGCTACTGTTACACATAGAATGTTACAAATACCCAGCAAATATGCTAGAAAAAGAGTTCTTACTTCTGTAACAGTTCTGAGTGGGTGTCGACTCTACCTGGTCCTTCTGGGACCTAGGCGGAATCTTCAATATGTGGGTCTCAAGGTGGCCCTGGGGGTCATCTCTATTCTAGCCGTTCACAGGGTAAAGAGAGTATGAAGGAGTGTTTGGGGGGCTCCAAAGTGGGACCCATCACTGCAGCCCACATCCAGTCACCAAGCTGGGTCACGTGCCACGCTGAACTGCGGGGGAGCCTGGGAAATGTAGTCCAGCAGCACACTTGGGAAGACAAGGAGCTCCAGATATGGGTGAGCATTAGCCGTCTCTGCTGGAGCGGGAATGCATCTTCCTCGAGGCAGCCCTTCTGCTCCTCTCCCATAAGACTTGTCATCAGCTGTGTGTCAGAGAAGTCCCGTAACCAGGTGGATAGTCTACAAAGGCAGGACAGGGCCAACTTATCCCGGATCCCCAGCCCTAATGTAGGGCCTGGTGGAAAGTAGGAACTCGCTACCTGTTGGTGGAATGATAGAATGTAAGTGGGCAATCGAGGTCATTGTTCTCAAGCTTCTGAGATGTATGGGAAGCCCTTGCCAGAGCATGACCTTGTGTCCAGCCCGGTGCAGGGCTCCGGCTGCCTTGGACTAAGACAGGGCAAGATGATGCCTAAGGAAAGAATTTCAAGACGAGTCCCTCCCTACCCCCACACACTCATACAAAACTCATGTCACAATAATAGCTATGTTTACTGAGTACTTATTTTGTGCTCCATCACTTACTCACATGCAGATGATTTCATCCGGAGACCCCTACCCCCCAGCGGCCCTATGATGTAGGTTCCATAATTAGCCCCATTCGCTGGTGGAGAAATCAAGACTCAAAGTGGCAAGAGGTGAAGCTGGAATTTGGGTGTGAATATGCTAGACTCAGAGCCTGTGCTCTTGACCTCTGACCTCTGTCAATATCCAAGAGAAACAGGGTAGGTTGGACAGCAGTCAAGCAAGAGCCCAGGGCAGACAGGCGGGAGCCCGGGTGCTCACCCGGCTCTGTGTGACTGAGGGTGGGTCACCTCCTTTGTTTAGTGCCAAGTTCCCTCAGCTGGCTCTGCGCCAGGCACTGAGGCGATGCAGGAAACCTCCATTCTCTAGGTGGTTTGCTCCCAGGGCAGCAGACAAACCAGCACCATCCATTTGATATGGTTCTACTTGATTCTACTGTCTCCTGGGAGATGGCAAGCAAGAAGTTGGACAGTCAAAGGTTGCAAACTCAAAAACTGACAGAGCAAGCGTGGAATGCAGACAGACTGGAGTCTTGACTCTATCACTTCCAGCTCTGCGACCTCAAATTCCTCATCTGATGAGTGGAGAGAGCACATAATTCATTCTGAGCTCAGAGGATAACACATAGACATCCCTAATTCATAGGATAACCCACATATACACCTACCACCTAGGACAATCCATATAATACCTAGCTTGTAGGGTAAGCCATATACAAATGTAGCTCATAGGACAACCTATATATATATATACCTAGCTCACGAGCTAACATATATCTATCATGAGCTAACACACACACACACACACACACAGACCTAGCTCATGGGAGAGCAATGGAAGGACCATGAAACGAGATAGGAGATGCCCCCATATAAAGGCTGCCATGCTGGAATGTGGATCCGGTGGTACCAGATCCCCCAATTATTCAAGAAAATCCAGAAACCACAATTTTAATGTTTAAAATGTGTTCAAACAGATGGTGATTATACTTATCATGGTGAGCACTGAGTGATTTATAGAATTGTCAAATCAATATGTTGTATCCCTAAAACCAATATAACATTATGTGATAATTATGCTCCAATAATAAATTTTAAAACTAATTAATTAATGAATTAAAACCAAGAGGTATAGCTCTAAAAATATTAATAACAAAAATTTAAAAAGTAACACTGGTAAAACCAAAAATGTCTTCAAATACCTCCTAATTTTAAAAACTTTGTACAAGCTAAGAAAAACATCGGTGGGCCAGATTTTGCCCCTGACCCTGTGGGCTTCATAACAGCCAAAGTCTCTGCTGATTCTGATCTCTGAATAGGAAAGAGGACAAGGGAGGTGCTGTCTCCAACTCAAATTTAACCAGACAGAATGAGGATCAGTTGCACACAACAGAAAGTTCTAAAATAACAGTAGCCAATACAAGAAAGAAGTTTATTTCCCTGTCATATAAAAGAAATCCAAAGGTGGGCAATGCAGGCTGGTGTGGCAACTGGGAAGATGATGGCTTTCATCTCTCTGCTCTGCCATCCCTAGCATGGTGGTCTTTATCCTCATTGCCCAGCATGGCTGCTGGAGCACTGGCCATCACATCTGCAACCCAGAGAGCAGAGTGGAGGAAGAGTTCTCCTCCTTTATTTTTTTTTAAAGATTTTATTTATTTATTTGACAGAGAGAGAGATCACAAGTAGGCAGACAGGCAGGCAGAGGGAGAGGGAGAAGCAGGCTCCCCGCTGAGCACAGAGCCCGATGTGGGGCTCGATCCCAGGACCCTGGGATCATGACCTGAGCTGAAGGCAGATGCTTAACCATCTGAGCCACCCAGGCGTCCCAGAGCTCTCCTCTTTTAAAGATAATTCCTGATTTCCTTACAACACTTCCACTCCTCTAGTCAAATGGTCACATCTAATTGAAAAGGAGACTGAGAAATGCCCGTAGCTGGGAGGCAAGGTAGCTAGCTAAAAAGCGAGGTTTAGGTACTCAAGAAGAAGATAGTAGATATTGGGAGGCAACGAGCCATTTGTGGCCCATCAAAGAGCCTGATGTGTGAGGAGGGCGTGTGGATGGGGTGTCGCCAGGCGGCCAGACTCTGCTGTCCACTTCACCTCTCCGGCCTCCTACGTCTTTGAGGCTCTGTCTGACCAAGAGAAGAAAATAAGAGAACAAGACAAAAGAGCCCAGCTGAATATAACAATGAGAGCAACAACTCACCAAGGACCGGCTATAGTCCAGGCCTTGTGCGGGGCCCCATGCAAACGTTACCTCAGATTAGCATCTTCGGGCTCTCTGGTGGGCGAGCCTCCTGCTGTGGGGGTCCTGTCTGTGCCAGCAGGGCAGGGAGACCTAGAAATCCGCTGTCTGCCCGACAGACAACCACCCGCCTTTCTGCCCCTCCCCTCCATCTGTGGAGGTTCTGGTCTCTCTCATCCCTGAGCCTCCCTGACGATCTTCAATTGTCTTGTGTCCTGATGGCTCCCTGAGCAGTCAAGTTTCAACTTTCTGTGTTTCTTAAGTCAGCCCCCACTCACCATCTGTTCCAGCTTCTAGAATTTGGTTGACTCCTCTCATCTGCTGTTAGCTCCTCACATGGTCTCTTATTCCTCATGGATAGGTGTGCATTTTAAAAAATGCTTTTATGCCATTTTGTTAGAATTTCAGAGAACAGGGGAGGTAAATACATGTGTTCAGTCTGCCATGTTTAGCCCGCAGCAGCCTCCAGCCTTCATTCTCAACCAGGGGCACCCTCAGCACATGGGGTGATCTTTCTCTCCCTCCCTCCCTCTCCCTCCCTCTCCCTCCCTCTCCCTCTCTCTCTCCCCCTCCCTCTCTCTCCCTCTCCCTCTCTCTCTCTCTTCCTCCCTCTCTCTCTCTCTCTCAGCCCAGGCATGTTTCTCTCCCACCTCCATAGACCAGACCTGCTTGTCAAGGGCAGGCGGCTTGCCTCCCTCTACTTTGCACTTAGACAGGACTGGGCAGGCCTATGGCAGGTGAATAAAAGTCCTGGATGTGGCTCATTCCTAAGAAGTCAGGTGTGGGGCGCCTGGGTGGTTCAGTTGGTTAAGCGACTGCCTTCGGCTCAGGTCATGATCCTGGAGTCCCGGGATCGAGTCCCGCATCGGGCTCCCTGCTCAGCAGGGAGCCTGCTTCTCCCTCTGACCCTCCCCCCTCTTATGTGCTCTCTCTCTCTCATTCTGTCTCAAATAAATAAATAAAATCTTAAAAAAAAAAAAAAAAGAAATCAGGTGTGGGCTTTAACAAGTTAAAATTAGAAGGTAGGCATGAGGGCGCCTGGGTGGCTCAGTTGGTTAAGCGACTGCCTTCGGCTCAGGTCATGATCCTGGAGTCCCGGGATCGAGTCCCGCATCGGGCTCCCTGCTCAGCAGGGAGTCTGCTTCTCCCTCTGACCCTCACCCCTCTCATGCTCTCTCTCTCATTCTCTCTCTCAAATAAATAAATAAAATCTTAAAAAAAAAAAAAAAAAGAAGGTAGGCATGAGAGCTAGTCATTTCTGAATTGGAATATCAGAGTAAATCTCCCTGCAAAGGAATATTCCTACTGTGTTTACAATGGAGTCCAAAGTCAATGCTCAAGGGGAAGGCCGGATAGAGTCACGCTTGTCCTTATAAACCCTGAGGCAGGTGCCAGCCATGCACACAGACACCCTGCCTCTCGGTGAATCTGACACAGCCCGCATCCCTTCCAGAGTTTTCTCCCAGGGTCTTGGTTAAGGTCCTGGTTTGGGTTGAGAAGCCATGTTATGTGAACAATATGCATCTTCAGACCCTCGGATCCCCCTCAGTGGATTGGGATGCTTGGGACACTTATAAGAGAGAAGACACTTGGTTCCCAAGAACTAGGGTGAACAACCATCCCAGTTTGGTGGGACTGAAGGGTTTCCTGGGACACAGGATGGTTCCAGGGCAAACTGGATGGTTGGCCACCCCTCGAGAACACCTATAATAGAGATTCTCTCCTCACACAGCCTCCTGGGTGTATACTTGTTGCACATGGAGCTGAAAATGCTTATGCCCTGCTGTTTACCACCCTACCCCAGGCAGAGGGTGGATCCGTTCAGAGAGTAGGCTCTGGAACCAGGATGCTGGGGTCCAAACCCCAGCTCCAACACTCACCAGCTTTGAAGCAAGGCACTTCACCTCCCCCTGCCTCGGATTCCTCATCTCTAAAATGGGAATAATAGTAATAACAAGTTCTCCTCCATAGGGTTATTGTGAGGATTGAGTTAATAGATATAAAGCACTTAGAATATACATAGGCCACAGTCTCTTATCTCAACCCCTGATGTCTTAAGCCCCTCATGCACTTTGGGATTTTGGAATTTTGGAGTTTTAGAAAGCACACACCAGGGGTGCCTGGCTGGCTCAGTCAGTGGAGCGTCTGACTTCAACTTTGATCTCAGTGTTATAAGTTCAAACCCCATGTTGGGGGTAGAGATTATTAACAATAAAATCTTAAAAAAAAAAAAAAGAAAGAAAGAAGAAAGAAAGAAAGAAAGAAAGAAAGAAAGAAAGAAAGAAAGAAAGAAAGAAAGAAAGAAAGAAAGAAAGAAAGAAAGAAAGAAAGACACCGTATGTCATATAACACAACAGTGGGGTCTCTGTTAACACCGCATACTTAAACACATTGATATTCCTGCAGAAAATAATGTATGAATATTTATATATCTGTTCAGGTTAGATTTTTTTTCACCAAATCAGTTTTGGTACCAACCTTAAATTAT